AAGCATATTTATGTTCCTCCTTACACCTGTGGGTTTTGATTCAGTGCCAATAATATTGATAAAACTTCAGTGAAGTGCAACAATGTTAGATGAGTCATATAAATAAGCACATATTTATATTAGCAAATTAATTGTTTTGACAAAACAATTTGTTTTGAACTTAAAACAAGTCTAAATAGTTAAAAATATGAATAAAAATGTTATGCATATCAGGTAATAAACACACATATTTAGTCAAAATACAATTATGTTCATTATGTTTTGTTGCAAAACTTGCTACATTGTGGCCAAGGTATTCAAATAGTCGCCATAATAGAAAAATCTCTTGGAATTGTTTTATTTTTATGTCCCTGTCAATATTTCAGTTTGAGCTATCAGTAATATTTCATAAATTCCTAGTGTTTTAAAGGCAGTAAAGGGGGAGTTCTGTTCAAATTAGCTGCACACACATACCTTATGACACTTATTGTGTTCACAACCAATTTCAAATGTGCAAAGTGCAAACTCAATCTTCTGCACATAGAAAGAGCTTGTTCTACTGCAAAAACTAAACATCAAACACTTTAGTTTTAGTGTTGAATGTATAATCAACCTTTAGAACTGATATTTTACTGTCCGTGTACCCTACAGATGATATCACTTCCTCCCTCTTGTGCCTGTACTTCATCATAGTAGAAGTACTCACTTTATTACAAAGAGCTGACACGATGAACACTTTCCTTATCAGATCTGCATGTCTGTTGTGGCTAACAGGTAATAGTCAAAAATATGTTGTGCAAGTGATGATTAACTGTGATGGAAATGTTACTTCCATGTTATAATGATAATTTTATTTCAAACATTACTAATCACTACAAACAATGTTATCTTTCTTCATGGACAGTGGCACATCATGCAAAAACTGTTCTACAGAGTCCTGATGACCTCTTAAAGAACCAAAATGAATTGGCTGTTATCGTCTGTTCTCACAATATACAGAACTATGACCGAATGCTGTGGTACAAACAGAGTCAGGACATGCCTGGACTCAAGTTCATGGGATACCTTTATGCTGATCAGAATATAGAGCCTGAATTTACAAACAAGATCAAATTGGAGGGAGATGCAAAGAGAAATGGCACTCTGACTATCAACAACCTCACACCACAAGACAACGCAGTGTATTTCTGTGCAGCATATTACACAGTGATATAGACAATGAAGCCTTAATACAAAAAGCTCTCTAGTCTGTGCTTCCGCATCAGCTCTGCCTCATCTGCGAAGGGCTCAGGGTTTGATTTGCTGCCAACATTGAGGTTAATTATCTTGTTAAATAACATGCACACAAATGTCTAAGAGTGTTTGAGGAATCCCATGTGAGAATAGAACAATCCCACCACATTTTGACACCTCATAGAGTCAATTAAATTGATACACAAGTTGTATACTTAGCATCCCAGAACAGTAGAGGGAGTCCTTTCTATGGTAATGCTAAATCTGGACAGCATTGAAGAATATACACAATTTAGCGATTTTAAAATAAATGCACGTTTAAAGAATAATAAAAATCATCATATTATTGGCTTGGAAGATAACAAGAGAAATCCATTACTGTTAATTATGATTTTCTCTTTTAACCTTTTTGTGGAATGACATCAGAAATGACATCATTTCCTACTAGAAGTGCCTTCCTGCATTTAATTCACAGCACTGTCACTAAAAGCAAAGATGACTAGCATCATTACAAGTGTTTGTGTTTCTCTAGTATGCCTCACAGGTAACCATTTGTAATACAAATTTGTTTCATGTTTATTATGTGCATTTGTTTTACACTAAACACTGATTGTCATTGTATATGTGTGTTTTCTCTCATTACAGCTGCATGTTTTGGTAAAACTGTTTTCCAATCACCTGGTGACCTCATTAAGAACCAGGATGAATCTGCAGTGATCATATGTACACATAATATACCAAACTATGAACGTATTCTTTGGTACAAAAAAGACATCATGAGCTTTAAGTTCATGGGATACCTTAATCTTGACTTTAAATACCCAGAGCCTGAATTTGAAAACAAGATCAAACTGGATGGAGATGGACAGAAAAATGGCACTCTGACTATCAACAACCTCACGCTGACTGACAGCGCAGTGTATTTCTGTGCAGCATATGACACAGTGCTCAGAATCACCTCTGTCTAGTACAAAAACCTTCCTCAGTCACAAACTTGAAATTCAGTGCTTATCAGCAAATTCACTCCCACTCTGCACCTGGACCTGTGGAGTTTGATTTAGTACCAGTAATAAGAAAAACAAAGTCTTAGCATTGCACAAATAAACTGTTCCATCATTCCTATAAAACTGATTAGTTTAGAACAGACATTCATTCCTGTTATGCAGTACCCTTTGAACCCTTTGAAATTAAATTGAAAATGTGACAACAGAAACAAAAATCTAACTTTCTTTAGGATGGTGCCATTAAAAAAAAACGTTTGTTATACGAAAAAGTAACAGGATGGAAAGTGAAAGGACAGGACAAAAATCTAAAAAAATTATTACCCAAGTAAAACAATATTTTTAAGCTAACATGTTTAGTTTGAAATGTTTTGATTCCACAAAGGAAATATTAAGAAACACCTGCAATATTTCTAAATGAAGGGTTTGGAACCTGTAAAGCGCTGCATATACGTGCCTCTACCTACATTTCTGCAAAACTCAAAACACGTAGCCTACTTATACATACACTGCATTTACCAGTTGAAATGAACACGAGAGGCAGTAAAACTCCCACAACTTTTATTATTTTTCACACGTATGATTTGCAGGTCCACAGTTTCGATTAATAAAGCCTAATTTTCGCATAATTACATTATGTTATGGAATATTATGTTATGAATTCAAAACAATTTTAACATGCTGCGAGATTTGAGATTGAGATTTGAGAAAACTGGTGCATTTGAAGGTCAGCGTTCCATATCCAGCTTTACATGCATGAGTTTTCTATTTCAGTAGGTTTGCTCGGTAGGTAGCTCACGGGATTGTTAACACTATCGGGTAGGTTTAGGGTTGGGTTTGGTGTAGGGGATATTTCCAACACGATAGTGCATTAACGTTCAGCAACACTCCTCGAATATTTGAATTATGAACCACCGCAATACGTACCTGAAGCAACGTAATACAAACACAGCAATACGTGCCTATATCAACGTAACAAATACGTGCCAGGGTCACATATTGAACCCGCGTTTCACTTTGAAACTGCCGTGAAACGTGCAGTAAGGTACGTAAAAACAGAAGTAAAAAAACAACACACACACACACAAAATAATGTAATAAACAAATAAAATAAAATCCTGCACATATTTCTTATTAAAAAATAACTAATATTCAAATAAGTAGTGCTCCTTGTTTTGTGGAATTAAACTCAATTCATTGCTGGCACTAACCAGAGAGATGCACATATACAGGACTTAGTACAATGAGACTTTATATGTATCTTTGATGTTATAGTCCTAGTTTTATAGAGTAAAGACCTATATGTATTATTTAAATCACACAATAGCCTATATCTGTAAAGTATATTTATAAGCTGGCCTTTACAGTACATCATAATATTGGTTGTATGGCAGTATTTGTTGCTCTTTTTAATACTATAAATAAGGATGCTTTTCAGTATTGTCATTAAAATAATCTTAACATCTGCAGATCGTTCTGTAGAAGAAATTAAATGCCTTTTGTTTTCATTGTAACTAAAACAATATCAATTCTTCTGGATTTTGTTCATACTGTAGCAGACTCACTCACCACATAAACATAATATTCGTAATATTCTATTATTTGTATTATACATTTACTATATATTAATATTTATTTGCTTCGATTTCTATTACATGCATCACAGATAATGTAATATATTTTGAATTAATTGAAACCTTTTTTAATTAATCATACACATTTTAGTCCAATGTACTGCAAATTAAATGTTACAAGTATTGCGAGTATTTTAATATTTCCCACAATATCTCAAAATTGTGAGGCAATTATCTCTTGAATCTCTACATGCATGGCAGGAAATTGTTGTAATTTAAAAACTTTTGTGTAGGAGGCGCTAAGGTTCCATAATAGAATCTGTAAACACATTCTAAGGGCGTGGTAATGCTGCAGCACTATAGAAATGAGGAATTATATCGAACTGAACATTTTTCCCCCCCAGAATATTTTCAAGTCTAAATCAACATGATCAGAGTTCTCCTTGTCTTACTATTTTGGCATACAGGTAAATATTTTATATTATAGTTAATTATATAATTAAGCAATAGTAGTGCTTTTATAACACGTACCCTTTTGTTTCTTTTTACAGGTTCTGTTTGCAGTGTTCAGCAAAGACCCTCAAATCTAATCAGATCAGAGAGAGACACTGCAGAACTTGTATGCGAACACAGCATAGCAACCTACACTATAATTCTCTGGTACAAGCAAACACAAACAAACCATGAATTTACATTACTGGGATATATCTGGAATAAAAATTATTTTCCAGAGGATAATTTTAGTAAAAAAATCAAGTTGGATGGAGATGGAACCAAGAATGGTTCCTTAAAAATCCTCCAACTTGAAGCCAGTGACAGTGCAATGTACTACTGTGCAGCTAGTTTCCACAGTGTGATGAGCAGTTATGCCACAATACAAAAAGCTCTGAAAGCAGCAGTGCTGCACAATTAACCACAGCAGCTCTTTTGCACCTGCTCAAGGGCTTGGCTGAATTTCCTGTTAATATTTGCATCCTTCTGAATTGAAAACTTAAACAGGTCATACTAAATTCTTGTTTGATAGGGCCAAACAACCAGTCATGACAAACATTGCAAAAGTAAATATATTTAAGCAGAATGAATGAATGAATGAGCAAATAAATAACAGTTTGGAAAAATAAAGAAGTAGGTATAGTGATCACTCTCGATGACATCACTTCCTTCATTTCCTTAATTTAACTCATAGTGGAGTCAATCAGCAGAGAGAGACAACATGAGTAACGCTCCATATATCTGTGTTTCTGTCTTTGTTCTGTGTCTTGCAGGTAATAATTGGCTTGTTTTGTTAATACATTGTATCATTGAATTAGCATCGCTTTTCATTTGATTTTATTCATTAATATTTCTTTCTACAGTCAGTATTCTTGGTAAAAGTGTTCTCCAGACTCCTTCTGATCTCCTGAAGAAAGAAGATGAATTTGTTGAGATCAAATGCTCTCACAGTATACCGAACTACTATGTCATACAGTGGTACAAACAAAGCCAGAGCATCAAGGTCCTTCAACTCATGGGGCACATTAATGTTGAACAAGAAACCACAGAGCCTGAGTTTAAAGCCAAGATCAAACTGGATGGAGATGGAAGAAACAATGGCACTCTGACTATCAACACCCTCATGCTGAATGACAGTGCAGTGTATTTCTGTGCAGCATATGACACAGTGCTCAGAATCACCTCTGTCTAGTACAAAAACCTTCTTGTGCTGTATAAATTTATAAGTAACTGCAAATTCTCTTTAACTTTACACCTGGATCTGTGGTTCAAGTAAATGTAACACACATCGATATCTTAACAATACACAGGGATTAATCATTCAGATATACAGTAGTAATATTAAATTAATAATTTATCAATCAATCAATCAATCAATCAATCAATATTATTGTTAAATGTACAGTTTTCCAAAAAAGAGATATGTTAATTTAGCAAATGTACATACATATTGCATTTTGAAAAAAAAAATATTGTGGGTAATATGGCTAGTGTGCAGTCACGATGTAATAGTTATTATAATCACTTGGAGGAGCTCTTGATTAATTTATGTGCAAATTATGTTGCACTAACCACTTTGAAATGTTATTGCATTGATCAATAACAATTCAGAATTAAAATGCAAAACACATTTACTTGCACGACAATCAAAGCACCATTATTTAGTGCATCTACATTATTTGAGAAGTAAATTTGGGCTAATGGCTTTTGCTACACAAATAAATGTTGTTAAAAGAATCGTTTCCATAAAAATCATAATTTTACAGGTTTGGAGCTTACATGAGTGTATGTAAATAATAGAATTTAAATTCTGTGGTAAACTATCCCTTTAACTGCTTCCAGCCATTCAATTTCCATTTTTGCAGATATTATTTGATAAAGGATTTTTCCGTCTAGCTTGTTGGCATCCACATACTAATATTTGCTGTGCTCCTGTAGTTGTGGATTTTGAACACACCCAGAATATTCTACACCCCTTTTGATATAATGAAAACCCAGATTTAGTGGTAACACCTCTCCGTTTAGTGACAGCACATAAGACATGTCACATTTTGTCTCGGAAAATCAGAAATTGTCATGCTGTTGGCATTATATTGAAACCAAGTGCCAAGATGAATCCAGGGTTAGTTTTTCTGTTCATATCACTTCAGTGGATCACAGGTATTTGACAATATCAATGAAAAAGAAATCAAATCTGATTTGCACTCATGTTAACTGTTGAGTATTCTTATCTATATATTCCATACTTCTTTTGTCAGGTTTTGCAGATGTAAATGATGTTACACAGTCTCCAAACATTATGTTACCTGGCAAGGAAAATGCCACTCTCACCTGCAGTCACACAAAAGGTGATACTTATAACAGAATGTACTGGTTTCGTCAGCATCAAGGAAAAACTATGGAGCTCATAGTGTACACAACAAGTTTTGACACTGTGGAATTTGGAAAGCTGGAAAAAACAAAATACTCAGTCAATCATGAATCTGCTGCGAAGGGTGTTCTTACTGTGAAGAATCTGGAGTCTGAAGACAATGCGCTGTATTTGTGTGCAGTGAGTGAACACAGTGAACCAGAATAATTTCACAGATGTACAAAAACCCTCCTTTTTAATCTGCCATGACAACTGATATAAAAGATCACACAGACAGGTGGCACTCGTGTTTAACATGTGCAATCTGTCACAATGCAGCCTTATAGAAGGACTTAGATCTTTATGCATTTTGTCATCAACTCACAGCTCACTTTTGTATGTCGGGGTATCTGCAGGATTTTTAAAATCAAATTTTAAACTTTTTAAAGACCCTTATAAGACCTGCTCAAATAAAATGAACACTGTATGAGCGAGGAAGGGCAATGTCTGTGGTAATATATTAAACCTTAAAATTACCATAAAAAAACATGATTTACAGTTCAGATCCTTTTTTTCACAAAAACAAAAAGATAAACTTCACATTTCAGCTTTTTTTACATTTTTAAGAAAAGGGAGTCACACACTAGAGTGAGCAGAGGCTTCGACGAAGGAGCGGCCAGTGGGCTTGCAGCAACCACATGTGACAACCTGGGCTGGACTCATCAGCTCTAGGCATGACGAAGCGGATTTCGTCTTCTTTTGAAAGGCCAAACAAAGTAGTTTCGCTTTAAGAACGAAACACAGCGTCTCCATGGCATGGCGGCGGCGGCAACAATACTACAGCTTGAATAAAAGTTACGCCTTCTTTCTTTGCGTGAACATTTGGGCGGTGTTATGCAAATCTTCCCACATCGTGACGTAGACATGTGGGGGCGTGTTAGAACGAGCCATTTTAGGTAGGCGTGGTTGACTCTTAACTTTTATAAAGAATATCTCTTTGGATTTGAGACTTCAGTCTTTGCAACTTTACAGATCTTCTTTATGCACCAAGAGTTTGTAACACTTCAAAGAGAAAGGAAAAATTTAAATCGCATCATATGACCCCTTTAAATTTGAGTCCTGAGTCTTCTCCTCCCATTTCTACCAGTGATGTGTGATTCAACAAGATTCAACTTCCCGCATCTGCAATACCTGCACGGATATCAACAGCACAACTGTAGGTTGCCAGGTTGAGGTCACAAATGGGTTGAAATTTGCATGATGATTGTGTGAGTAGGAAGCATTTCATAAAAGATCTGGCAACTGGATATAATATATTGATGCAATAATATATTGGAATAATATATTGATGTGATTACTCATTTAACAAGTTTCCTGGAAGAAATAACAAAATGGGAAGGGGCAGGAGATGGGTGTGAAATACGAGACTCCCGGGAAAAACGGGACTGTTGACAGGTATGAATTCTACCCATGCTAAAAAGCCTCAGTATCCATCTGAAAAGCTCTATGACCAGAGCCAGAGGCATATTAAAACGTGGCTAAATCAACTTAACAACTAAAAGTGTAAACCTCATCACCTTGTCAATTACACTCATTCCTGCTGTGTGACAGCTGGCAGTCGTGTGTAACACATGCAGTCTGTCACAATGCAGCCTTATAGAAGGACTTCGATCTTTATGTATTTTGCATGACATCAACTCACAGCTCACGTAGCACATTCTTTTTGACACATTCTGTTTAAAAATAACCAAATTAATAGCAAAACCTGAATACATTTTCTTTACAACATGCCTTACGTGTGACTGGTTATGTTTTCTGACTGAACATTGCATGATCACCCATTCATTTCGTAAATGATCACAACATGCCTTGCACTGCAAGTCTTTCCACATTAGGTTCAAATATGCTTGAGTGCAAACAAGTTCTGAGCATTATATGTTGGAAAGGACTTTTTTTCTAGTAAACTCAAGTTTCTGTCTTTTCCTCTTCTTCAGAAAACGTGTTTTCTTCATAAATCCTGTTGTTTTTTCCCCCGTAAGTTTTAAAACTGAAATTTGACACATAACAGCAGGAGGTGGTGTTAACCCTGTGTACAGTAAAACCTTTCTCAGGAAACCTAACTTACCATTACACTCAGAACAAACTTTTAATGTTGATCACACTATGGTAATAAGATGAAGGTGACGGTGAAGGTTGGTCCACACACACACATCTCTTCTCTGAACATTCAAGTAAACATGATCAGGAGTGTCCTCAGTGTTTTTTTTCTCATCTGTCTCTCAGGTAGAACATGTTTGACTATACACATCCTTCACATTTTTTTGTGAAGTCATGGTTTTTCCCACCATTTAATAAATAGCTAAGTATTATTATTATAAATTTAAATGAATAAATAATTATTTAATAAATGCGTAAACAGGACTGTATGAAATTATTAACATATTTCCACCCTTTTTTAACAGATATTTCAAATAGTCAAGATATCCATCAGACTCTCAAAGATCCTGGACAATCTGAAGACCTCCACTGTTCTCATAGTTCATCTTACAATGTCATGCTCTGGTACAAACAAAAGCGTGGCGAAAGTTTGGAGTTGCTTGGATATCTTGTGGGTTCTAGTGATGCAGTTGAGGATAAATTCAAAAATAAAATCAAAATTTCTGCTTCAATAACTTTGCAGCCTGATATATAAATGTTTTTTTTTTTTTTTTGTCATTTGGAAGCTTCGCCGCCTCAGACCCCATTGAAAAAAATAAAGTCATACAGGTTTGAACATCAGTGAGTTGTCATCATTTTCATTTTTTTAATTCATTTATTTTAAATAAAATTTCTAATCGTAAAAAAAATAAAAATAAACCTAGTCATTAATTTTAATTTTAAATAGTTTGAAATGTGAACAACAGAGGGCAGTGTTGTAATTGCAAATATTTTAGATTTTACCCCAATATGACGTATGACTGTGTAAAAGATGGAAACATTTCTTATATCTCATATGGAATCCCGTTCTCTTTCCACTGGCATGTAATAGCACACATCACTTTGTTCTTAAGGAAGAGTAACTTGCATCAACATGAGTAAACTTCTGATTAAATTAATTCTTGCAACCTCTATTTGTTCTCCACTCTGGATTCAGGGTATGTATCACTGCTTAAACCGCCTCAATCATTTCTTCTTTTGTTTTTTGTAGGTTCCACTCTGAGTGACAAAGTTGTTCAGAAGCCTCGTGACATGATAGTGAATGTTACAGATTCTCCAGAGCTGCAGCGCTCCCATAGCATCTCAAGCTATGACCGTATCCTGTGGTATAAAGAAACCCAGGATGGACAGCTTGTTTTTATTGGGATACCTCCTTGGCTCAGTAGATCGGTTAGAGCCTGAAGTCCTAAACAAATTCAGTTTAGACGGAAATGGGAATAATAATAATGGCAAATTAACCAAAAAATTCCTGGAGTTTAATGATACTTCCATGTATTTCTGTGCAGTATATACACAGTGACACACATGTGGTGTATCACCTTTACAAAACCCTGCTGGACAGGCTACATTTGACCACAGAATGCTTATCAATTCACATTTGAATTGCAGTAAATGTTTCATGATTTAATCTGACATAATGGGGATTTCCATCCAAACATCTACTGAGTCTGATGTCACATCCTGTGTCTCTTACCTCAAATGTACATATGAGTAATACTAAGACTAAATTAAAAATGGCTGCCAAAATTAATACTGCTGTACGGTTAATTAATAATAATCTTATTGCTAAAATGTCAGGTTTTCTTCGACTAAAACTAGACTAAAATGTTGAGTCTTTTAGTCAACTAAAACTTGACTAAAACTAA